CAACACCCACGCCAATTCCCACACACTAGCATCCAATTGCACCAACTCCAATTAATACCAACCAATTATCCCAGTTGGTATCCAACCAATCAACCTCACCCCAGCAACACAAGCACCCACGCAATTCCCGACCTCATTTCCAACGCCAATTCCCACCACAGCCCCCATTGCACCAACTCCATTACCAACGAATTATCCCAGTTGGTATCCAACCACATACCAACCACACCCCAGCAACACAACACCCACGCAAATCGCCGACTTATTTCCAACACCAGTTCCCACCACAGCCCCCATTGCACCAACTCCATTACCAACCTCAATTATCCCAGGTTTATCCAACCAATCACTACCACAGGCAACACCCACACCGTTCCCGACACCCGTTCCAACGCCATATCCCACTCCAGGGGGATCAAGGTCAACTTGGGTTTTTGGCACAGATTCAAGCAACGATGGACTATACATCATTGACAGTGACACTGGCGCATTGGTGAGTTACATTGGTGATCTGACGGGATATACCACACCGGTTACCATGGCGTCTCGATCCGGAGAATTGTACATCTACAACAATTCCCCATCACCCGGTCTCATGGGAAGACATCCGTGTACATTGCCATTCCCTGTGGAGTATACACAGAACTTGAAGCAGCACGAACATTTGTTACGGTACCATCAACATCCAAGTCAAAAAGGTTATTGTGAACACCATCAACTCCAAGGAACTTGTTGCTGTTGGGATTCCACACAACTGAATCAAGTCTGCCAAGAGAGACGCTCAGCTGCCCAACTAGAACAAGTGTGCATGTGGATGGATCAATGGTGTACATGGTTGGAGCGGTGCTGAGTTCGAGCTTGGTCAAGTGCAGAAGGCCTGTGATAGGGTTTGTGTCCATGCCTGAGAAGTGGCCTGGCAGTATGCCTGAGCAAATGACCGTTTCAACACCTGTGTTCACATTCAACGAATACAAACTGGATGATGTTTGAAAGTGTGCATAAAGAACACCATATCGAAACGCAATACTTCCCGCATAGTTGCTGCTGCCAGAGGAAACTTGGGTTACTGCAGCAGTCTCAGGGTCAACCTTTAGGAGACCGGGTGATGGGGAATTGTTGTAGATGTACAATTCTCCGGATCGAGACGCCATGGTAACCGGTGTGGTATATCCCGTCAGATCACCAATGTAACTCACCAATGCGCCAGTGTCACTGTCAATGATGTATAGTCCATCGTTGCCTGCATCTGTGCCAAAAACCCAAGTTGACCGTGATCCCCCTGGAGTGGGAAGTAGCGTTGGCAAAGAGGAAGGGAAGGGGGTGGGTGTTGCTTTGGTGGGTTGATTGGTTGGATACCAACTGGGATAATTGGTTGGTATTGGAGTTGTAAGTGGACTCGGCAATGGGGTTGGTGCAATGGGAGCTGGAGTGGGAAACGGCATTGGAAATGACGTCGGGAATTGTGTGGGCGCTTGTGTTGCTGGGGTAGGCCCGTTGGTTGTGACAGGGTTGTGACAATTTGTAGCTGAGCAGCAGATGATGACGATGGCTTGACCCACAATTCCCTGGACTTACATGGTGGACAGTTGTTTGTGGCTACGCAAGTGCTGCTGTCAATATCAATGCTCACTGACATCCAGCCGGCGACAATAAAGGACATTACATCTGTCGTAGTGCAGGATGTGGTAGGGCTGGTATTTGTGAAGAACTCGCCAACTGCGGAGCAGGTCTGAGTGGCTGCATCCAAGTATGTGCTCGATGATGAAAGGCGATAGATGTTGGTGTACATGAATAAGTTACCCAGCAGTATGGCGCATTCTCTCTCAGATGTTGAGCATGAATGAGCCTGGCATTCTCGGACAGATTTGACATACGCCTTGTTTGGCACACCACTAGCTTGGAAAAGCTGCAATGGAGTGAAAGATTACAATGTTTGTAAGGTCAAGATGGAAGGCGATATGGAAGCTGAGCCAAATTTGTTGACTTACATCTGTAGCGCTGCTGAAGTCACAGACCTAAAGGCAATTTGGGAGATGAAAGTTGAATGATGTGTTCGTATTATCCAATGACAGTATATCCTAGGAAACTTACACTTCCAATGGATCTACCGTCATCTGGTGGATTCTCCATGTACCGATAAGGACCACTGAGACGCCTATATGTAAGAAAAGAAAAGATGGATAAGAGGGGCAGGGCAACCACACTCAACAACGTGCAGGGAAGGTGTTGGAACTCGAAGCTTCAACTCTGTTCTTGCAGCTCTGCCTTTGCAGCACCACTCACACTTCACCAACCAAAAAGTCCGGTGTATCACGAGAATCGTTCACTTGATATTCTATAACAGCGCCATAGATATCCGAGTAGCTGGTCGGAATCAGGTGGAGGGCAGCAGTAAGGTGAGCAGTAAGGTGAGAGTTTCAAAATCATGGGGCTCCAACTTCACCTGCAAAAACCTACGCAAGATATAAACCTGAAGTTTGTACGCCACCAGTGCGCAAACCGCTGCTGTAATCTGTGACGCCACGAGCTATATGTCCTGCGATGAAATCCATCGTCGTGGAAGGGATCGCGTCAACACAATAACAATCCTCAACTGAAAGTTCTGTCATTGTCAGCAAGCATGGGTAGGTAAGAATATATCATTCTACACTCTTACAAGGGGAATGAATCAATCATCGGACATACCATTTAAATGAGTCAGGTTTTCATGTAAGGTGCATGTAGTGAAGGTGAGAGCAAGTTGGTGAAGTATGATCGAGCAATTCCTTCATCATGACCTACATTTAAGTCGGTTCATGTGGTAAAGGGCTCTGGTATATGCAGAAGAAGAGGAATGAATGAATGAATGAATGAATGAATGAATGAATGAATGAATGAATGAATGAATGAATGAATGAATGAATGAATGAATGAATGAATGAATGAATGAATGAATGAATGAATGAATGAATGAATGAATGAATGAATGAATGAATGAATGAATGAATGAATGAATGAATGAATGAATGAATGAATGAATGAATGAATGAATGAATGAATGAATGAATGAATTGTAAGCTGACCAGAATAAAGAATGTCCCACCTAAGCGAATTCCGAGTTGAACTTACTGACATTCTCTTGAGGTGTCATAGTGGGCAAGTGCGATCACCGATTGAGGACTGCTCGATGAGACCGCCAAACCGCCCATGACATTCAGAGCGGACTGTAAGTGCTGGAGAGTTACCACCATAATGTAATGAATATCACTCATAGTATCAAGGCAGGTGGGCATCTCCACAAGAACACCTGGGAACCCAACAGTAATACGAATTGCATGTAAGGACTAAGTAAGGTGGTGTTTGCTGGCTCTCAAATTTTAAAATCAGTGGTTGAAACTTACATTCGCTGTCCCAAGCACTACCAAAGCAATTGTACGTTCCATTATAGAAAACGGAAGGCACCGGGCCTAGGACATTGACAGTCCTTCCATCGGATTGGACCGTTGCCTCAGTCACAATAGCATTCTTCCCTGTGTTGTTCAAATAATAGGATCGTATCTCCTGTGTGGTTCTGGTGGAAGAAAGTGTTAGGGTGTCACGGGTAGCACAAGTGCTGCAAAACTGAAGTTCCCGTTGGTTGTGGCGTAGACTTCTTCTTTCATTCATGGTTTTGGATGATGATAGAAGACAAATGCTGAGAATGTTGAGATCGTAAGAGTGCACAATGACACGGATAACATGCGTTTTCCCGTCATAAGTCTTCATGAGCACATCCGAGAAGTACACCAAGTAGTCTTCTAGCTCGGTAATGTAGATGTAGAGCTTTGGAGGCTCGATATTGCCACTATCCTCATCAACTTGAAATTCTTTGGACAGATAATGGATGGTATCTTCCGCTGAATAGCGAGGGGTATAGCCTCGTTTGACATGGACAGACGAGAACGATTTTCCAGTAACCTCTCGAATGGAAAGCCCTGTGAAGCCAACGTCTTCCACATGAGCCTTGATGTCTGCTGTGGCCGAATCAGTTGCCAGTTCTGCGCCGTAGCATTCATCCAAGGTTACAACCGAGTCGGCTCCGTAGACTGGGATGCCATTGATAGCTTCATTGATGCGCAGGCGCTGGACAACACAAGACGAAGCCTCTCCATTCACTCCGGCAGTGGCAAGACGGACCGGGAAGGCTTGATTGACAACAAAAGAACTTGTGGTTCCGTCATCTGCAGAAGATTGAGCATGGAGCCATGCGGCATTGTCGGTTGAGACAGTCTGGAGTCTGGAGTAGTCCAAGTCCGTACCTTTGCATCGCTGGTCTCCGTCTGGCAAGGATGTTGCCACAGATGAAACACTGGCAACTTGAATGGTG